CATTCGAGTACGAGGCGTTTGGATTCGTTTCGGGGGTCAGGGTTCTAGACTTCAGCGTTTAGATAGGCTTGCGGGGATAGGCGTGAGGTTGAGGAGTTTTGAGGTTTTGCCTGGAACTCTTCGAAGAAATGTTGCCGTTGCAGTTGTGTAGAGCAGGGGCCAGTCGGCCAGCAGTCCCGTAGTCATCCCTAAGCCCTAAACCTTGGATACTGCCCCCACTCAGCAAGAGCTGAGTAATATTCATAAAATGGATATATAAGGCCCTTACTCTTATAGACTGTGATTGTATGGGGGGCTGTACCCAACCTGAACCCTAAATGCTGCGTCTGGTGGCCTTCTAAAGCCGTTCATTCAAATCCTAATAAAGCCCAGAGGCCCCAAACAGCACTAAGGCCACAAACACTAAGCACCTGATCCCTAAAGCCGCGAATCCGCCAACTTTAGTAGGTACTACGATGCCCTAAACCCTAAACCCCCTAAACCCTAAACCCCCTAAACCCTAAACCCCCTAAACCCTAAAACTACGAAGCCCTGGAACCCAAAGAAGATAAAGCGGGAGCTTCGCAGCTTCAGAGCTCATGTGCCCTGGCGGACTTCATCCGGAGCGCCATTTTCCAATGGTGGGCGAGTTAGGGTTTATAGGGTTTAGGGTTGCACGGAAGAACTGATACTTGGGACTTTCCGAAACTTAGGGTGCCTTATTTTTTGGGGTCCTTGTAATAAGGATCCTACTATTTAGGGTACTATAGTAGGGTCCCCTATTTTGGGCAACCGCCCCCCCCCCCACTTCTAGCAGCATCACGGAAGAGTAGAATGACGATGATGATTCCGATGTGAGTCGGTCTAGATTGTCTAGATGTCCACATGCTAAGGGTTTAGGGTTTAGGGTTTAGGCTGTAGGGTTTAGGGTTAAGGGTTTAGGGTTTAGGCTGTAGGGTTTAGGGTTAAGGGTTTAGGGTTTAAGGGTTTTGGGTTTAGGGTTTACCGGCCTAGCCTAAGACTGCACCGAGCGGCCTCGGAGGACCAACCCTCTACATCCCTGCTGGAACACCACTCACCTCGGGAACCCTACGCCCAAAATCCCAATCGGGCCGTAAACCGCTAAAGACAAACCTCCAGGCCTGCAGACTATAGACCATTAGAAGAACCTTAGACCCTAAACCCTAAACCCTAAACCCTAAAACCCAAACCCTAAACACTAAACCCTATCCCCCTACCAAAGCAGCAACACATTTCCTGAATGCCAGATCCTGTCGGCTCTGACTCGTCCCCATTCGCCCTTTCCTGGGGCTCTTGCGTTTCACTTTCTGGCAGCCTCAATGATTCAATGGCTCATTACAGTGTAGGGTTTGGCAATAGTAGGTTGTTATATGCAAGAGGTTATTTGCAGGGCTCGTAGAGTTCAGGGTTTGGGGCATTGTTTGAAGTTGTGGATTCAGGGTTCAACACACTACACACCGCACGACGAGTCATCAGGAAGCAAATTGTTCCTGCTGCCCTGCTGCCTTATGTTAGGATGGCAACGGGCTTTATCCAGTGATATACCCAGCTTTTAGCCAGCCCTGCCCAAGACCTGTTCCACTTCATCACTGTGGCGACTATGGCTTTCCTCGTCTTTGTAAGCCCTACACATAGCCCTTGAGCTAGTTACAGATGTAGATGGAAAACACTTCATCACCGAACTTGTAAGTGGCCCTAAAGCATAAACTTGTCCCCTAAACCCGAAACCCCTGAACCCCTAAACCCTAAACCCCTACACCCTAAACCCTACATAAACTACACAAGAATTGTGATGCTGGCATAGGGGCCGCCAGAAACAGCCGTCAGCCTCCCGTAAGTGTGACCTCTCCGACGAGGGACACTGGGAGGGCCGGAAGGCAAGACGAGGGATGTGTGGCGAGCTTCCTCAACATTCTGGGGCCTTGATGATTAGCATAGAAGTTAAGGTTTCTGATTTTTGCAATATGGTTTTGGGGTACATTGGAATAGGCTCTTGCATGGGGATAGCGTGTTTCGGGCATGCCACCCTTAACCCCGGACCCTAACCCTAAACCCTACACCCTAAACCCCAAACCCTACAACCCTAAACCCCAAACCCTAAACCCTTAAGGATCGAAGATCTGACCGAGGAGACCTTGGAGTTTCTCAAGCCGAAGATACGAGCCCTAAGCCACCATTTTGTTGAAGACCCGTTTAGGGTTGAGGCCCTGGGACTCCAAACCCCTTTAAAGTCAACATATAATTGCACAGACATAATATATATACATATATATACATATATATATATATGTGTACATACATATACATACATACATATATATATATACATATATATATATATATTATGAAGAAGAGCATTGACAGCATTGATTTAGGACCAGCATCTAGACAGCTAAACAAGTAGGTCGTCGGTGTGGCCAAACTATATACTATCTAGGGGCCTGCATCCTTTGGAACCAGGGTTCTTAAGGTGGCTCAGGTTCGGCGTCAAAAAGCCCTCGTGCGGCCTTGGTCTTTCCATTACATGTGCCCATGGGCGTTGGCGCGGCCACCCGGGAGCCGGAGAGAAAAGCAACAAATCCGCCGTCTCGGTTGATACTCAGAGAGCACAATAACACCGCTCAAACAAGCAATACCCTAAGCCTTAAACTCCAAACCCTACTCTGAAAAAAGGCCACCGCTTTTTCCGTGTAGTGCCCCGATGAGATCGGGGTTATATTATATTGTAGTATGTAGTATATATATATATATGTATGCTAAGGTCGAGCTCTGAGGGTTGATCCATGCCAGTAATGTCATCATGGCTTTCTCGATCCGAGAACCATCGAACTCCAAACCCTAAGCCCTACACTGGTGTTGCTGCGCTGAGGCATCAGCCATCGATGCTTTTTTTCTGCAGGGTGAAGAACCCGGAGACTCCAAAAGCTCCGTAAGTAAGGAATGCACTTGGTACTTAAAAGATTAGATACGATACAGTTTAATTTGTATTGCTTCATGACGGGTAGAGTGCCTAGTGGCAATTTAAGGTATATTACTTCAGTAAGCAGTAACGGTAGTGTGAACCCTTTAAACCATTTCTTGGAGACAGCCGGCAGCGAGCACCGGTCGTTGCTACTGCTTCCCAGTTCATGGGTTCAATCCCATGTGATCATGTGAAGCTTTATGTGAAGCTCGGGAACTCTAGAAATACTGTTGATGACATAAATCCTGTATTGCCTTAATTGGGAAGCATGGTTTATTCCTATTTGTGGGTAACGCAGGATTTGCAACATCAGCCGTCTGTAGCTGGCAGGCCAGACCCGTTAGCAGTATTTTTGGTAATCATTCTAAGCACAAAGCCCAACCTGCAAGGCCTTAGTCCCTCGCGCACCCGAGCTGCAAACACTCAAGTCGTTGAGATTTAGCGACAACGGCCGTGGCCACTATAGAAGCCTAAATAATTACCAATAGCACTCCTTAGGGCTCCTTGTTAAAACTATAGTATAAAGGAGCCCAAAACCCTATTTTAATTACTTAGGACCCGACAGTTGCGGTTTGCGGAAGCCTTTACCGCTTCAATTGGGGAATAGCTCCGGCAACAATCGAAGTCAAGATCCCATCGTGGCCAGGGTGCTGTTGTTGTCAGTTCCTACGTTCTTGAGGCACCCCGGAGACAGAACCCTAAACCCCTAAAACCCTAAACCCCTAAACCCTAACCTTCCGAAAAAAAGAAACTTCTCGCATGCCACTGCAGAGCCATGGCTCACTTTGGAGGGCATAGCCACACCATCTCTCCAATATCTGCACTGCAATCCATGGAACCCGAAACCTTATGTCAACCTCTAACCTCTAAGCCTAAACCCTACAACCACAAACCCCCTAGCCGGATGCCTGGCGTACGACCCTTTCTTAAACGGAAACCCTGTAGGTGCTTGCATACGGTTTAGTGTAAGTGCCAGCACCAGCGCCTTTGACTGCAGTTGAAGAAGCTCCTAACCGCGTCATAGCCCAGTATTTCGCATGCGTTGAGGGATGCAGATGGAAGTCACCCAAACCTAAAATCCTCAAACGCTAGGCCCTGAACCCCTAAAACCCTCAAACCCTAAAACCTCACCGGCGAGCGATCCGGCGCAGCAGATGTCAGCGCGACGCAGCTGGCGGGTTCGCAAGAATGGTTACCAGCCGGCCGTCGAGGATTGCTCCTGGCTTTAGCGGTCAGAGATTAAGTATATAGAAGCCTACCCTAGCCCTCCAGGTACCTACATGCAGGGCCCAAGGGGCTCTAGTACCCAATATAGTAGGTACCTGGGAAGTTAGGGCTACATAGCTATCGGCACTACTTCAAATCGCTTCCTTAATTACTTACTGTCCTCAAACTGTAGCCGAATTATTGAGGCCTATATGAGGCTCTGACTGGGACTTTCTCGGTAGGGATCCCAAAAGTAGCGGTCATAGTACAGTGTTCATACCGAATAGAGCCCTAAAGCCCTTAATTAGCTCGAAAGCCCTATAACCCCGAGACCTTAAATTAGAGCCTTGAAGAGAGATTTTTTGGGTAGCTGTCTCTGTGGGTACCTCTACATGAAGTCGGGCACCCGGAATTCGGAATGTACACGCACTCATACTGCTAAGAGAGCCCTGTTTTGGCCCCTGTACACTTGCCCAAAACCGAAGCCGAGGCTTCGTGCTTGCATTCGTGAGGGTTGAGGGAGTTGATGGGTTCGGGTTGAGGGGTTAGGGTTTAGGGTTTAGGGTTCAGGGGCTTTAGGTAGTTGTTCCTTCTAAGGTTTGAACCTCTGAATCTGCAGTCGACTGGAGATCATAGCAGCCAAGCTGACGAAAGACTGATAAGTTTGTAGCAGGACGTATCAAGAAAGAAGCCAGGATTCCCGTGGTTTAGGGTACTCTATTAGGCAACGTAGGGTTGTTGCTCCATCACCAGCAACACGACCAAGCCCCGAAGTCTGGACTAGCTGTCGATGAACTAACTAGCTACTTTATAAACCCGACACCTCCGACAGGATCGGTTTGTGGAGCATGGCGGAAGATTCGAGGATGGTGCGGTAGAGCGGTTCCAAGGCGTTTCCGGCAATTGTGTGAGATGTCGTAGGGTTCGGGAAAATTTAGGAGGCTCTCAGGCAGGGTGGCTGCACGCGCTTGCTGGAGGATTTCGGGTTTGGGTGCAGTGTATAGGGGTAGGGGTTTGGGCATCTCGGTTTTACTTGCTACATGGGAATACTCGAGCAGCTATGCTTCTTGCAGTGGCTAGCAATAAACCCTGGCCCTGATCTGGGGTTCTCCTTCAAGACGGGTTTCTCTTCCAGTAACGATCCTACTCGGGTCCCTTTTCATCGGTGCTTGTAAGAAAGGACGCTTCTATGCCGGGATTCGAAAGTCCCCTAAACCCTAAACCAATAAACCCTAAACCCTGTGTGCAAGGCCCTTACAAGTTCTTGTCGAACTTCTTCTGGTCTCAGCTGGACTATGAGGGCCTTTGCTACCCCTCCGTGGAGCATGCTTTCCAAGCCGCGAAGCTACGCAGAAATGAGGAGACCGCCCTGAACCCTTTAAGCGACCGTGCTGGAAATCTTGTGGGTTTACCCAGAGGCCCCTAAGGCGTTCCTTCTTGGGATTACCTTATAGGATTCTAAATATAAACCACAAAAAGGAACTACTTAAGGGCCTATGGCTAAGGACTTCATTGTCTTATAGGGGTTTTGTATGGGCTCTGCATGGCTTCCATAGAAGAGAGTTCTGCACTGTACGCGTGGAGGGCTCAGGGTCTGCAGCAGCTTGGGTTTTAGATGAAGGATCTTTCACTCTTTGCAGCGTTCTTTTGCCATCATGTTGCTTAGAGTCTGACTTCGAATATAAGCTAAACAGTATGCTTGAAGCACTTCCCATGCAGAGTTTTATAGTTGGGATGATAGGCAATATGCATGGCGGCATGCCAACGCAGCAGTGGTGGCAATAGGTAGTTCTCTAAATGAGGTTCCTGAGTAGCCCCTTAATAATAAGGGCAGCCTTATTCCTACTATTTGGGTGTAATAAGGGAACCCAAAAAGAAAAAAGGGCAAAAGGGCACTACTCGGTAACCTAGACAAAAGGGACCCTACTCAACCCTAAACCCTAAACCCCTTACTTTAGAGAACTACCCACAAGATGGCTCCGCCAACCTCGCTGGTTTCGTTCGAGGCTGCGGTTCAGGTTGTACGGCTTTTGACCTAGGAGCTTAGGGCTTACCCTAAGGCTCTAAGGACTCCTATTTTAAGGCTTTTGGGCCCAAAGGCCATACTATATGAGGCATTTGGGCTATTTTGAACCTTAGAGTTTAAGGCTTAGGGTTAGCTACTACGGTCCTTCTGCACTGAAGGGAACCTTGATTGAAACCCACCGAGGCTACCCAAAGGGTCCTTGGCTCTGGTATGGGGGGGATACTTTCCCAAAATCATCGTGATGATTCATTCCCATAACATAGAAGCTGGAAGCCCTACACTCTCCTAGGTGGGTACTGAAGATCCTTTGAAACTTTGGAACCCTAAACCCTAACTCCTTTGGGAGAGTTGCAGCCCTTCGGTCTCAAGAACGCTCCAAAGATTGCATAGCCTAAAGGTCCATGTACCCAAATTAGTATATACTTTGGCCCCAAAGTACCCATATAGGGACTACCTTTAAGGCCAAAGTATGTCTATTTGGGACCCTAAACCCTTAAACCCTAAACCCTTAAACCCTAAACCCTAAGCCCTAAACCCCTAAACCCCAAACCCTTAAACCCTAAACCCCTAAACCCCTAAACTATTTGGGTCCCTGGGCCCTTAGGGGAGCGCCTCGGGGCCTTCAGCACCCAAATCCGTAAGCCCCGAAGTCTCCCCTGACTTCTTAAGGACGGAGAGGTCCCCGAAACCGTCATAAACAGAACAACGGTAACCTACAATATCGATGACACCAGCAATAATATACAAACATGATGGTTCTGATAGTTATTTAGACTATTGATCATGTTCTCCTTAGAAGAGGAATTAACAACGATGATAGTTGCAATATTGATAAACCCTTATATTTCTCCTTAGAAGAGGAGCGATTGGCTTGGGGCTTTACTGGCAGCGTCAGCTTCGGTGAGGCCAAGCGGCTAGGACGCCAGGCGGGGCTAAACTTTTCTGAGGGTGGGGTCGGTTGGGTTTAGGGCTTATAGGGTTTAGGGTGTAGGGTTAGGGAAAATTTGCCCTTTTTCTTTTTGGGTTCCTTTATTAAACCCAAATAGTAGGAACAAGGGTACCCTCATTATTAAGGGGCTACTCGGGAACCTAGTCTGAGTTTCGTTTCCTCAGTACGTGCGGGTTGTAGCAAGTTACTGGAGTATTGGCAGCGTTTAGGAAGGTTTCATGCAAGCGTTTGTAGAGTTGCATAAGATCCTCCTAGGGGTCTATCAGGGTTTATGGCCAACCCTAAACCCTGCACCCTCATTTATGTTTGCGCCACCTCTCCCGACCCGCGGGTTATGCTTGTTTTGGGATGTGAGCGCACGATGTCACAGCTGCGGCTGAATGGCAAGGACACCCTCCCACGAAAGCACGTTGAAAACGGCAAAGCCTCCACTATCTAAGCCTGAGGGTGCATGTACTCATATAGTATATAAATATACATTGGCCCCAAAGTACCCAAATAGGGACTACTTTAAGGCTTAAGTATATACTATTTGGGTACATGGACCCTTAGGGTAAGCCACCCGCCGAGATAGGAGCCCGGAGGGGGAGTTTTGCAGGTGCCTTTGCGGGAAGATTGGAAGGAGATCAGAGAAAAAGTCATGGCTTCTTGCCTCTCTGCCGCTAGGCTCTTCAGTGGTAGACTTCGTCATTTTGGGTGTGTTTATTTTCCCCACAAAGCTGTACGTAGTATAATTAGGTGCTGGAATAATTGCTAATGTGTGTCTCCTCGCAGTCCCTAACACTAGCACCCCCAAGCCCAAGTTGCATTATGCTGGGCCCTGTGCCCCCCGGATTCATTGAAGAGCCGAGGCCAAATTTTCCGACCCCAGCTTGCGCGAGAAGCTGCTGCGGACAGGAGACCGTGAACTCATAGATGGCCATTCTGGTAGCCCAGATTTGATTCTAGGTAGGCCACTGGTATGTTTCTTCCCCTATTTCCTCCTATTGGGTGAAGAAGATCCTTTCTAAGACCGTTTTTCCAGAAGGTGTCAACAACTGGTGACCCGTAAACCGCCTAGGATTTGGGGATATCACATCCCATCGCAGAAGGGCGAGAACCGACTGGGCATTTTGCTCATGGACCTGCGCGCAAAGATACGCGCTCCACAGACCACCTCTGGCAGTCGTGCCTTGTTCCACCTGGACTGGCCTGTCAAATGCCTCCACGATGCTGGGCTCTCGTTAAGGAAGTTACCCTAAGGGTCCATGTACACAAACAGTATATACATTGGCCGGCCAAAGTATATACTATTTGGGTACATGGACCCTTAGGGTTAGCATAGCATGCCCAGATTTTTCCTATGCCAGGAAATGGGCTTTCCGTGTCCTACAACTTAACCCCAGAGAGCCAAATAAACCTTAATTAAGTAATATACCTTAAATTACAGGGGCTTTAATATTATGATTTAAGGTATATTCCTTAACTAAAGGGTGTTGGGCTCTTTGGGACCTTGAAACTATCATTTCCTAAACCCCATGGGCCTGTATAACAGAACCGCAGGAGTCCCTTGCCAAAACGGGCCAAACCCTAGGAAACATGTCTGCATGTCTGAAGCACCGTGTTAAACCTTACTAGAACCCTGATAAATTCTTACATTCAGTAGATCTTAGTAGTAGATAGAGTAAGTAACCTTGCGCCTTTTCGGGGTATTCTGTTTCCCTTCATGGTTCCAAAGGCTAATGCTTAGTAAGTATAGATCCGGTATCCCAGACTGTATTCAAGCAATAATTGTCTCCGAGTACCAAACATGTACTTGGGACCCCTATTAGCTCTCTAGCTAAGTTCTATAAAACTCTACCACAGATCTCTTTAGACAATCAAAAGCACCACATAACATTCCAATGAAAGCCCAGTCTGGGCCTCGAGCCCCGCCCCGTTCCATTAAATCAAAAGAGCTTCAGATTGTGATGTACAAGGTACATTCCTTCATCAAGTTAAAATGAACCCTAGCGAGCCTCATTACATGCTATAGTACTTCTTACCTAACGCTAGGTCTCTAGTAACCTGAATACTAGGTTACTGGGTTGTAACTTATATATTATAGGCATGGTCCTGGTTAGGAACCTATTATTCAAGAAACTGGAGGTGTAGGGTAAAAGGGGCCCTAAACCCCTAATCCCCACAAACCCTAAAACCCAAAACCCTAAACCCTAAACCCCAAACCCCCTAAACCCTAAACCCTAAAAGGGCCCCAAAACCCCTTTTTGGGGGAGCTCAGGATGGCCTGCCGCAAGCTTACGCCTCTCGCATCCGCGACCTCGCTGTTGGCGCCGGCCTCGCTGGATGCAGTGCCTGGGCATTCTGGGTATTTACCTGTCGTCTCCGTTGTAGTCCCTTTTTGTGGTTTAACCGATCATATATGTATGTGTGTATGTGTGCGTGTGTGTGTATATGTATATATATATATATTGTGCCTCATATAAGGTAACCCCAAAAAGGAACTACCAATGGAGTCTGAAGTAGGTTTGAGGATTTTGCAGTTGTAGGATCGGCCCATCTTCTTGGGTTGGATCGGCCGACCTACTACTTGGTCATTTTACTATTAATTCATAGGGGGGGTTGTCTGAGAGTTTCGGACTTAGGGTTAAGGGGTCAGGTTCCAGTTTAGGGTTTGGGTTCTGGGTTTAGGGCTTGGGGCTTAGGGTTCGTGGTGCCTAAATCTGTTCATTGAAGTGTGTCCAAGGGGTCTGACTACCAAGATGGGAAACAGTTTGGTGTCCACAATATCTCTTTGTGTTATTCCCGATTGGACTGTAAAGTCCATTAAAGCAACCTAGGTGTGGTCCTCCCACGCCGGAAGATTTGCATTGCTCTCTGCGGGCGAAGTAGCGACATCGACGCTTGGGAGCATCGGATGCGGACGGAAGACGTGGATGTGAACAGCCGGGGACGGCCTTGTCGTGAGCGCATGCTGGTGGAGCTCTTGCGCATGAGCGGGGCTGGAGCGTGCGATACTTTCTCTCAGCGCGAGGCTCCTTGGTCTATTCTATTCCCAGTTAAGCCTGGCCTGAAATAGGGGTTTTAAAGTCGCGGTCATGTAAGATCCCATGTTTGTTAAACTTCATCCTTTCCGAACAAGCCATGACTCCTGTCGGCAGAATCACGCAACAACCTGAACCACGATTCCCAAGATTCTACTGCACCTACCGGCGCCAAAGGATAGGCAATGAAATGTATCCGGACGAGACATATACTTAGCTGAGATCCAGATCCCACGGGCCAATCGCGACCCTGAGCCAACTAAGAAACCCTCCAACCCTAGCCATGGGTCCTAAACCTCAAGCGCCCCGAGAACCCTAATCCCTGAACCCGTTCCAAGTTCTAAACCTCATCTTCGCAGAAACCCTGCAGCTCCAATCACCTGCTCATTTGAGGGCTACACCGGCTACACCCATCGTTCCGAGGGCATATGGTCCATGAGCTCAAACCCCAAGACTTCAGCCCTAAATCCTAAACCCTAAGCCCCAAACCCTAAATCCTAAACCCTAAGCCCCAAGCCAAAGACCCGAACCCTTACCCTCACGCCTACGAAACCCGAAACCTCAAGCCTTATAAAACCCTCTAAAACCCTGAAATCCTAGGCCCCAGAAGCCCTGACACCCTAAGCCCCACAAACCCTTTAGGGTTTACAGGGCTTAGGGTTGTAGGGTTGTAGGGTTTAGGGTGTGATAACTGCTGAAATCCCCTGAAACCCTAAACCCGAAGCCCCTAAACCCAAATCCCCAAAACCGCGAAACCCGAAGCCTAAACCCTAAACCCTTGCAGCCCTAACCCCAAACCCCAAAAAGTTGGAAACCGGATTAAGGACCAATAGTGCTGGGATTCCCTAGACATGACTCTTGAGGATTGAGGCTACTGGGTTTCCAACTTTTGGGCTTCTACTGTAAACCCAAAGCCCCTAATCCCAAATCCCCAAAACCGCGAAACCCGAAGCCTAAACCCTAAACCCTTGCAGCCCTACTGTAACCCCAAAAGCCCCAACGGCCGAGCCTGGGGCCGAGGCTGAAGATTGGAAAGGTCTCTGCCAGGGGCTGTCGTCCGCTCTTGGGCTTGAGGGCGCAGCTCTGGCCGAGGCCCGGAAGAAACGGTTTGGGGCTAGTTTAGGGTTTAGGCTTAGGGGTTTAGGGCAGGGTTTGGGGCCAGTTTGGGGTTTAGGGTTTAGGGGTTGGGGTTTAGGGGCAAGTTTGGGGTTTAGAGTTTAGGGTTTAGGGGTTGAGGTTTAGGGCCAAGTTTAGGGTTTGGGGTTTTGGGTTCAGGGTTCAGGGTTTGGGGTTTGTGATCTAGGGCTTAGATGTTTCAGGGTTTGGGGCTTGGGTTTCGGGTTTAAGATTGGGGGTTTTGAGGGTTGCGGGTTCAAAGTTTGAGGTTTGGAGTCGCCAAACCTTTCGGAAGGAAGATTTCGGAAGTCTCATGCTTCGCACTGTAATGCCCCACATGTTGAAAGTTTGGGCTCGCATAGGGCTGGGGGGTTTCGCTATGAAGCCTCTAAGCCTGTACGGAAGCCCCATTTTAACGGGCTCGAGCATAAACGTGTAGTACCAACACTGACCGCAGTCAGCATCACAATACATGCCACAATACAGTAACGAGCCTTTATGACATCATTCTATTGCTTCTTCTGTACTTTGTGTTTGTCTTTGTCGTCTTGGTAGATGTGGTGTGATGTGCCGGTGGAAACAGAAGCAGTTGTAGTAGCCATCGTCATGGGTGTCGGTGTCGGCATCGTCGTTGCCAGGTGTGGCTGCGGTAGGTACTTGTGAGTGTCTAGGACCTGGTGACAGAGCTATGTTATTCTCGACCACTCCTTGATTAAATTATTAAAGGGGTGCGTCGACCGGGAACGGTCCCTGAATGCAGTGTTGCATCGTGCTGTAATCATCGACATCCAGACACTGTACCCTGACACAAAGAAACTTCGTAGTGTAGCCCTAAACCCTTCTGGGGTACTGTAACCCCTGTATAATCCCAAAGTTCCAAAGGGCTGAGATTCAGCTCCCCTCGGGATGCTGGACCAAGTAGTCCTAAACCTCGCAAGCACACACAAATTATCCCGAATGCTTGGCGACCTCTGATCCTTGAACCTAAAACCCCAAGACGTGAACCCTAAACCCTGAACCCCAAACCCGAAATCGTAAACCCTACACCCCACGCCCTAAGCCCCAAACCCAAAAGCCTGAACCCTGAACCCCAAACCTAAACCCCAAACCCCAAGCCCTAAGCCCTCCTAAACCCTAACCCCTAAACCTTACCCCCCTCTCCCCAGGACTTCAGCCCTAAACCCTAAACCCTGAACCCCTGAACCCCAAACCCTAAACCCTGAGCCCTAAGCCCGAAACCCTAAACCCTCAACCCGGAACCCCAAGCCCTAAGCCCTAAACCCTCAACCCAGAACCCTGAACCCCAAACCCTACATCGTAAATTGCCCTAAACCCCAAATCCTAAACCTCTTTTAGTCCCCTGAACCCTAAACCCTAAACCCTCAACCCGGAACCATAACCCTTGTATACCCCTTGTATAGCCTCATAAAGACCCCAAGGTTCCCTTTAAGGGTCTCTCCTTTAGTCCCCTAAACCCTAAACCCTAAACCCTAAACCCTAACCCCAAGATTCCCTTTAAGGGTCTCTCCTTTGAGTCCCCGGAGCCCTGAGGTTTTGGGGCCGGAGCCTCCAGAGCTCCCACAGAGAGTGGAGTACTTGGAGAACCGCCAGGCGTTTTGGGTTTATAGGGTTTTGGTTTTGGTATTAGGGTTTTGCGTTTAGGGTTTTGGGTTTGGGGTTTTGCGTTTAGGGTTTTGGGTTTGGGGTTTGGGGTTTAGGGTTTAGGGTTTAGTCCTCCGGAAAAAGGGGCACTTTTGGATGTAGGGGTGTTTTGGAACATAGGGTATAGGCCCTATTTGATAGGCTTTAGGGCTAAGGGACTAGGGTTGAGGGTTTTTGGTAGAGGCTTTTGGGTTCAGGGTTTCGGCTTTAGGATTCATGGTTTGGGCGTGGGGTATGTTGTTGCTCTCACGCCTAGTATGTGGTGTGTTGTTACAAGACAATGAAGGTTTCTTGGGATTGGATTGTTTTGGAGCTTAAGTTTGTAGTGCATGTGTGCCATAAGATTGTGTGTCTTGCTGTTGGGGTTGTTGTTTCTGCTGCTGCTGCGGCTGGTGTTGCTATTCGGGTGTTTCTGTTCAGCGGGTGCTGCTGATGATGAGGCTCTTTGGGCCATCCGCCCAAACGGCTTTGGGAGTCTTGCACCTCACCCGGAAAGCACTGTGTAAATCAAGTAGCTTGCGTGCTACGCCACCATTCAGGCTCTTACAAAACCCTCAGCCCCAAAAATAAACCCTAAACCGCAAAATCCTAAGCCCTAAGCCGCACACACTAAACCCACACAGGAGGAACGCCCTTAACAAACAAGGCTGTGCGCCTCGACGGTCGGCGGTACCTGCTGTGCTTGAACGAGCATCTTGTCTTGAGGCTGTCAAAATCACAGTTTCGGGTTTCCCTCAATCAAGAGGTTTGGGGTTTAGGGGTTTAGGGTTTAGGGTATTGGAGAATCGGGGCTGCGCGGGTTTGGGGTTTAGGGTCTAGGGTTTTCAAGCCCTGGCAGTGGGCAGCAAGCAAAAGCTTATGGTGGACAAAGGTCTGCGCCATATCCCTGAACTCAGAAACCCTAAGCCTTAAACCCATGAAGACTAGATTCTAAATGATGCATCAGCAGCATCATCTAAGGACTCTGGCGAAAAACATTTCTGAGGGACTGCTTGCAGCTGACGGCCAAGCCCTCTTGGGACCAGGAGATCTTGTCTGGGGACCGAAACTGCACGTCAACAGAAACTAGTCAAACTGGGCTCCTCTCACAGGTGTTACCTCAGCAACCCTAAACCCTAAACCCCAAAACCCAAAACCCTAATCCCTAGGTTATATTTTGATGTTTTTCGGCGTCCACGGTGTGGTTCTCTGTCTTAGGAAACCTCCGACGCCCGGGCCATCAAAGGCCAAAACCGAAACGTTGCCCAAGCCCGCGGCCCTAGGCCCCAGACCAATTAGCCCAAAACCACTATACCCGCTACCCTGAGCCCCTCTGCCCTCGTAATACCCTTTTGGGTACCCTAAATGTACCTTTATCATACTCTTTTGGAGTCCTTATAGTATCCTCGCGGTGATAGTACCCTTGTAGGGCACTTATTGTACCCCAGTTAATCTGATCACTTCAGAGACCGTGAGCGGTTGCATTCAACGAACGGTTCGCTTCATTATGCCACCTTAACTCGAGCTCGAACATAGCAACATGGAAGGAGAAGCGATCCCGCTGTGCGCTTCGAAGAAGCCGAGAATCCTGGCTGTCAGTCCATACTATTCCCCAATCAATTATTAAGGAATGAAATATTTCGGGGGGTTGCTTATTACAGTTATAAGTATACTATACCCAAAGTTGTTGTGTGCTTCCGGGGTGCAGCACCGAGCATGGGTAGGGATAGGTAAGTTGTTGGGTGGAGGGTGGCGGGTTTAATGCTGGTGATGACGACTATCGCCATGATGACACTGGTATATCATTGCCCTATACCCTAAACTCGAAGCTTATGTCATGGCCGTCATCATCTTCACTGGGAATAGGCACAATGACTATTGACTGTGGCCGAGTGGGATCAACACGCATGCTTATGTTAGTCCAGCTGTTGCATCGTTGTCGGCATCAGGGGTTCAGAATTCATCATCATCGTCTTCGTCATCATCGTTGTCGCCATCACCATCACCATGATGATGATGATCATCATCATCATCATCAGTCTAGTAGTAGCAGTCGTCGTCGTCGTAGTAGTAGTAGTAGCAGTAGTAGTAGTAGTAGTAGTAGTAGTAGTAGTAGTAATAGTAGTGGTAGTAGTGCTACCGTAAGTAGTAGAGGACGCCCCCGCCCCCCAGCCCCAAAAAAACAACGGCTTCGCGTGCAGCCTCCAACCTGTGGTTTTCGATTGTGCTGACT